CCCCAAAACCCCAAAACCCCAAAACCCCGCTTTTAAAAATTTCTGAAAATAAAGGAGAGATTAATAAATATACAGCTTATTACATAAATTTAATAGAAATATAAAACCATTTAAAAATAAATAAGGCATTAAGTTATATACTAGTTTGAGATTTACTTGGAATTTTAAAAGTACGAATTATTAATATAAGCTCTTGATGAGACTATTCGATTAATCATTAAATCTAATTTTAATATGGAATATCACCAATCACCATCCGATAACCTCCACTTCTCCGACGTTCAAAAATATTTACAGCACATTCTGGCTGTAACGAAAAAAGAGGAATCTGAGAGAGTGGCGACAATTGAAGCGGTAATTGAAGAAGTAAAAATCTAAGAACAGATTCCTATAAATGTACAAGAGGAATAGAAAATTCAATTTCAGATAGACTAACTAAGTGAGGAACAAAAGGAAGAATAAAAAATTATGATTGAATCCCTTCTTGAATAATTTGAATAAGTTCAAAAGAGCGAGTTTGTGCAAGCATAGTAAGAATCGAACCTTGAGGAGGAAAAAGAGCCAGTGTATTTGATTAATTAAGACTAACGCCCTTAATAACTTGAATCTGACAGAAGCTTAGCAGCTGCTCTCCAGCAACAATAGTTCGATTCACCCATTTTCAATGTTTAAAATGAGGATGTTTTTGATAGAGTTGACTCTCTGAATCTTTATGATTACCAAAAGAAACCAGAAATCGATAACAATAATCTTTTCCTGCCTTTAGAGGAGGAGAAAGATAAATAAGAGGAAGAAAAAATTGATTCGAATGAGACTTCGCCTCGCTCAATTCCGGATGAACATGATCTCTCAGTTAACTATGAAGATCACTACTTAGATAATTATATGTAAGTTAAATCCCACTGAAACCTAAATAAAAATGTTTCGCTCAATCCTTCTAAATCTAAGTTCACAAAATAATATTTATAATATAGGTGTTTATTAAAGGGTATAACCTGGGGAAGAGAAAGTCACGGTCTGTTTGACTACGGCACCAGACATCCTTTAAAAAAACAAATGCGCACTGATGTTGAACAGACTCTGGTGCGTACCTTGAACAACGACCTATTTCTTGTGCCTGTAGATACAGACCTGCGATAGGAATTTGACAAATAGGCCTAACCCCTACTTAATATCAGAAAGAATAAGAGTAATCCATCTCATGTTTCATATATTTTTAGACAAGTACTACTTAGAGGCACTCTCAGTACCGAGGAAAGACGATCTTGTGCCGCATATCTAAAGTGAAGTCCCAAATCCAAACAATCCTCTATTACAACACCTGAATAATATTTAGCCCCAGCCAGGTCAGCCAGTGCAAATAGCAGTTTAAAATCTCTAAGTCAACAACAATAATAATGCATAGGCTGGCGACCAGCAGAATAATTTCTCGTTGAATGATCTGCCTGACAACACAGCACATAACTGTGACGTTAGGGAAAGAATGTATTAAATAGTAAGATCTACTATTAAAGATGAAAAAAACGTGGTAAGTTTACATTCAAATCTAATCTTATAATTAGCCTTATAAGATTAAGAAACATGATATAATAAAGTTGGGAAGAGTGCTATTCAAGGTTCTCGAGATGAGAATAGATGAAATAGAACAGCAAAAAGAATTTAAATAGTTTAGGGAGCACAGGAGAAATAAAAACTACAAGAGACAGCAATAAAAGCTTATACAGGAAAGGCATATAACAGATCATGATTGCTAACTAAATAACTAAGATCTAGACAAGTCAGTTGAGTCCCTTATGATCCTAGATCAACTGGAATCTTGCTTGGAATGCTTAGAGGGTGAATAAAACTACTAAAACATTGAATGTCTGATCCCTGAATCATCCATAAAGATTAAACTCAAAGATTCAAAAAAAGAGCCTTCGCTCATTTAGATTTAGTAGTAAACAAAAGCCAAAGAAAAGGTTAAGTGTAATGAAGATAGTGCTAAAAGCTACCAGCAACAGCCCTTGCAATCTCCTCAAAAGACAATTAAGATTAAGAGAGCTAAGAGTGGGGGTAGGTAGCTAGAAAACAGAGAAAAAGTTGTAATTAATTTTGATTTAAACTGCAAAAACATCAATGCAGAAGATGCAAAAGAAGAAGAGTCTCTTAAGCAATAAAACGAATAGGCTATCACTAAAATGGATCCAAATGAAATAAATGATGTGAATTCAGAAGGTGTTGATAAAGATTCACCGCTTTGTAGATTCTGCTGGGGCTCTGAGATATCAATTGCCAATCCATTACTGTCTTCTTGCAAATGTAACGGTGGTATCAGATTTATTCATTATTGTTGCTTGAAAGAATGGCTAAATACCAAAAGGTCTGTTAAGGAGCAATCCACCTTAACTTCATACTATTATAAATCATTTGAATGTGAATTATGCAAGACCCCCTATCCTCTAATATTCAAAGCTAAAAATAGACGCTATAATCTTGTAGACTCAAACAAGATGACAGGAAACTACCTCGTCCTAGAAAGCTTGACTTTGGAATAAAATCTGCAAAGAATTGTGCATGTAATACAGCCCACTACATTTGTAAAAAGCATCAACCTAGGAAGGGGACATGACTCGGACCTCCGTATCAATGATATCTCAGTTTCAAGATGTCATGCAACTATTAAGTTTAAAAAGGATGCTTTTTACTTAAAAGATGGTAGATCTAAGTTCGGAACACTCGTCCTTATCAAGCATAAACTAAATCTAACACCAGATACAACTAAGGCAGTGCAGGTCGGTAGAACAGTCATCAACTTTAGTATAAAGAAGTGTCTGCCTCTGATTTACAAAGAAGGGGAATTCTAGAAACTGAATAACAAGGATAAGGCTTAGGAGGTAAATCTAGATCAATAAAGAGCAAAGCTAATGAAGCACTTAGAAAATATGCAATAGGCTGAAGACTACATTTAAAAATAAGCAGCTGAACACCAAAGACTAGCTAATGGTGATAACTTCCACTAGAGAAGATACTTTGTACAATAAAATATACATGAAGAAGAGATTAAAATTGACTATGACTTGAATCTCTATCCACGGGCAAACCATCTCGCTCCTCAGCAGCAACTCCTTTAAAACAACCAAGTGGCCTCTTTGATAGGAATCAGAGTTTAGGACATCCCTAGAAACGAAGAAAACGTGCAGTAGGATGATGATGGTCGTTAGGGTGTAGGCTAAATCGGTTCCGTTCTTAGATAAAACAATGACATATTTAATTTATTACGAAGAAGTGATGATCAGATACGGCCTTTGAATTCAATCCCTCAGATTCAATAACAAAATATCAATAACGGTAGCTAAGATAATGTCATTGACAACAATGCAAATTAGGTTGAAATGATCAGACCATAGGTGGTGAATAACGAGAATGGAGTTAGAAACCTTAATCTGAATATGTTAAATTATGTTGCTTGAAATAGAGACAGACAGCCTTTGGATCTTCATTAAAACATTTGAGTATAAACTTTAACTATAATTACAAATATATAAATCATTCAAACTTTAATTTCACTATTATCTTACCTATTAAGTGTATTTTTATAGTCACCTTGGGGTTTTGGGGTTTTGGGG